CCAATCAAGGTATCGGCAAGTTTGTGCTTGCTCCAGCGTGCTGGGAGAGGACCAGGTCCTTTCGGTTTCCACCTCTCTCTCCACCCTTCCTCCTGCCCCCACATCTTGAGTGTTGCTTGGGATCACAGGCATGACCTATCATGTCTCGCTCTCCTGTTCCCATTTAGCTATCAGTCTGTGAGTTATCACTTTCATCTTTAAGGCCTGCATATCAAACATATATATTCCATTTTTTCATTGTCTTCTTTCTGTACATAAAATCAGCATGTGATTGTAGTTTTAGCCCACTCAGGTAATCCAATACAATCTTCCCATCTCAAGACCCTGGGTTTAGTGTTTTCTGCATGTGTAAGGTAACATGCATGGGTTCCAGGAAGTAGAATGTGGGTATCTTCTGGGGGGGGGGCGACTTTCAGCCTACCACACAGAGCCAGGAAGAAACATTAGCTTCTATTTTCTGTGATAGGATGAATCAATTTCCCCAGGATTGTCAGTTTTCCATAAAAATGCTAATAATGATAATAATAATATTAATAATGTTTATTATTTAAACATTCCTTTATTTGCTTTGAGAATGTGTTTAGGGGGCACACATGCCACAGAGCTCATGTGGAAGTCAGGAAACACCATACAGGAGTTGGTTCTCTCCTCCTACTACGTGTGACTGAAACTCAAACTCAAATCCTGGTGGCAGGTTACCTCTGATCAATCTTGCCAAACTCAATAAAATTTACTCTTGATTTAAAATCTCAGAATGCATAAATCGGGGGAAAAAAAAGAAGAAGAAGAAGAAGCAAAGAGCTGGGCTGTAAGCGCTGTCTAAAACAGGAAACGTGGAAAGGATAACAATTGCTCCTTCCATCGAATCCGAGAGAACCTGATTTTCTATTTTGCTTTTGAAAGTACTGACAAGAACCCTTTCTAGAAACCAAGTCACTGAACAATTGAACTGAGAAAGTTCCCAGTTTTAGGGACAGCAGGTTATTATCCCCTCCCGGATCTGTTCTCTACTTCTGCTCTCTTCTCCTCTCTGGTTAGAAATGCTTCACACCCATAATGATGTTCTGTATTTCCTTATCTGAGTCTCAGACCATCTGGAGGCATTCTGTCTTCCTTTTGCCTTTGGACTTTTTATAACCTGTGATTAGGGTACGGATGGTTAAAGACGCCTTCTTTATCTTCATCCAATTTCCCAAGTAGGGTTTACGTAATGCTAGGGTTCATTTATTTAGATATGTAGATTGGTCTTGGGAAGACACTCAAGGATTTGAGATGTATGCTTGGCTCTGAGATATAGAGAATGCTCAGATGTAACTGAGATTTTTGACAGTGTTAATTGCCAGGATGCTGAAGGCAACCCATAGGCAGGCACAAATGCCATATGGGGTAACAGAATCCTGGTGGCTCTGCACTCAAAATATCCTAGCACTCCAAGCCTCTCTTACCATCTTACTGCTTCAGGGTTGTGCCAGGCCTCTGGTACCTCCTGACTAAATACTGCAACTAGATTATCTGCTCAACTCTCACACTGCCCCCTTCCACCATAATAACCTTGAGCGAGCCTCTGAAAAACCGACCATATTTTTCTTTTGCTCAAAACCTCAAAATGGCTTCTCACATTCCCCCAGCAAAAGCTAATATCCTCTCCAAAGCAGTAAAGCCATGAACAAGTATGTCTGGCCATTTCTTTCCTGTCATTCTTAGGCACTGCCTCTCACTTGTTCTATTATAGACTCATTGGTGTTCCTTACATTCTCTTGGGCCTTCCAACCTTGTGGTCTTAGTAATTGCTATTCTTCCTGTGACTGCCTCTCCACTCATCTGTACCCTGGCATAGCCTGTTCCCTGGCTTCCTCTGGGCCACTGCTCAAAGGAGACTCTTTTAGAGAGGATAGAAAGGCTTTCCATGGTGCTTATAAAAGAGAGACTTTTGCCCCCTGTGTTCATTTTCTTGATGAGCACTATAGCCCTTGTCTATCTTATGTCACATGTTTTCATATTTATCTGCTATAGGACATTTTTTTTCCCCAAACAGTAAGTTGCATGGGGCAGGGAGCTATCCCTGCACTCTGCTCAGAGCAGAACATTTTGTATGACTGTTATTGAAACTTCTTTTATTGTTTTATCAAAAAATAAACCTGAAAGATCCATGGAGCAATGCAGAAACAACCACCTGACCCTCTTCTCCACCTTCCCAGATCAAAAAGGCCCACACATCTCTCTAAACCCCTCCTCATTCCTTCTGTGTGTCCCTCTATCCTCCTCTGAGTCATCCAGAAAACTCTATGGTCCATTCTGGCCAGCTGAATGTGAACTCTGTCCTCTGAACCAAGATCTGACTCCTTTTTTTTTTTTTTTTTTTGTCTCAGAGAGCCAACACGAACAAATCTCCCACAGTATTTCCCCATTTTTGTTGAAATAAAAAGGGAAAGGTTTTAACTCTAACATAGTAAAACTTATACAATAAGAATAATTATCAAGTATTGTCTAAATAAAAAAAGGTATTAACTTTAACAAAATGAAACTATATACAGTAGGAACAATTATCAAGTATGAATTACATTCACAATGTCCAGTCTATCTGTATTTGACAAATTCAGAGAACATACTCCATTATCTATCCTCTCTTGATGAGTCCAAAGTTTTGTACCTAATTTTCTTCCTATCATATAAGGAAAACAGTAACTATATCTATCCAGTCTTTAACCCCTCAGAGCCCCATGAGGGATATCTTACCTGAGTAAACAGGAGGTGCAGAGCAAACAACTTCCAAAACTATAGAAATGACAGAGACATCTGTGTGTCTGAACAGTCAGACTGTAAGTTTGATTGTTCTATATGACTAACTACTAACCTGTCTTTATTATCCTAAATAGCTTTCAAGGACTAAAACTTTACATTACATTTTTAAATGAGCTGCATAGGTACAATGCTTTAGACAGGAATATAAACATATATAATATAGCAAAAATAACCTTAAATTTGTATCAATATACAAAAATCCATACCAATGTAAACTATTTGAGACTAATAGTTGCTTTTTTAGTTTAAAAGTAGAGTCAGTAATCTACCCTTTTATTCTATTATTTCTATATCCCCCTTTTTCTTTTCAGAATGAGATCCCTGAATCTAATCTCCTTTGCTCAGTTTTCTTCCTGACCATGACCAATAATAAATTGCAACTAACCCCCCTAAATGATGACATATATCCACCAAATGACCAAAATATACACATACCTCTTGGGAATATGAGGGCCATGTTCTTAAAATTACTTCCTGTGGTCTGGGGGTAATGACATCTTTAGGGGACCTTGAAAAAATTGAGATAAAGATTAAGTCCTGAAAGAGTGAGCTGTTGTCCAGTCTCAGTATGATGGGAAAGTGCAAGCCTTATCTGAAGTACTGGCTCGAATAGTCTATAACACTGGACCATTGTAGCTAACTGCCTTGTTATTGTCCTGAGCAGCTTGTAGTCCAAAGCTGATATTTGGGCAGTGTTTGTCATCTGCCTTGAGTACAGGGGCTCCAGACATTGGTGTTCCTTGTACAATGTGAGGAAGGATGAAATTCCTTCTTTTTATAAACTGAAGCTTCTTGCTTTTGCGATATTTGTTGCTATTCTCTCCCAAGAAATTACTGCAAGCTCTTTGTCAATGTTCATTTTCTGCCTATAATAAGGCAATTTCAGCATTAGTAAAAGATATCACAATTTTTGTTGGGTCTATTCCTGTTAATTGATGAAGCCTTGACTTTCCTTTCAGAATCAATTCAGAAAACTTGTTTACATAGGTCTTTAATTTTTTTTAACTCTGTTTGTGTGGTTGAAATATCCATTCTAATATATTATTTTCTTTCTGCATAGGAATTCCTGTAGGAGAATGTGTAGAAGGTAGTATGACTAGGATACAATTAAGCTCTGGATCCAAGCAACCCACATGTATATCCTATAATTTTTCTTCTACAAAAGCCAATTCTCTCTTAGCCTCAGCTGATAATTTTCTTGGACTATTGTGGTGGTATTGTGTCCCCCAAAATAGTGTGCACTCTAATGAACTTATCTGGGGTCAGAGACAGAAAAGCCACAATATTAAACATAGAGGTTAGGCAGTGGAAGCACACGCCTTTAATCCTAGCATTCCAGAGGCAGAAATTTGTCTGGATCTCTGTGAGTTCAAGGCCACAAGGATACAATGAGGCATGGTGATGCACGCCTTTAATCCCAGAAATTGAGCCTTTAATCCCAGGAAGTGATGGCAGGTAGCAGATATATAAGGCGTGCAGACCAGGAACTAGAAGCTTTTAGCTGGTTAAGCTTCAGGCTTTCAAGCAGCCGTTCAGCTGAGAGCCATTGGGATGCAGACACAGAAGCTTCCAGTCTGAGGAATCAGGATCAGCTGAGGAACCATCGAGGTGAGAAAGCTGTGGCTTGTTCTACTTCTCTGATCATCCAGCATTCACCCCAATAACTGGCCTCAGGTTTGATTTTATTAATAAGACCTGTTAAGATTCCTGCTACAGACTATTTAAGTTCTTATTATTACCATGTAAGGTTTGAAATAAATTACTTAGTTCTTGAGTTGTTAATCCAGTTGTGGGCCATAGCCAGTTAATATCTCCTGGCATTTTTTGAAAATCATGAAGAGTTCTTAATTGATGACTCCTAATTTGTACTTTCTGTGGCTGATTTTTTTTTTTTTTGTAAACCTACCTTGTATCCTAAGTAATTAATAGAACCCACTTTTTGTATTTTTTTTTCCAGAAGCAATTTATAGTTCCCAGAGAGGCAAAATTTCCTTTACCTCTTCAAACATTTTTTCTAAGGTGTCTGAGTCACAATCAGCTAGTAAGAAAGATATCATCCATCTCAAGTTTCTGGTATCCCGGCCGGTGGAGCGACGCCGGCTTTTCGCTTTTCGAGGTCTCCCTGCTCCAGCGGCTGGCTCCGGTCTGTCGCGCCATCCTTCAGCTCGGGCCACTGCTCCTGCGTGCACGTGAAACTCATGGCGGAGCGCAGGGAACTCGATCTGACTGGCGCCAAACAGAACACCGGCATGTGGCTGGTCAAGGTTCCTAAATACTTGTCCCAGCAATGGGCTAAAGCTCCCGGAAGAGGTGAAGCTGGGAAGCTGAGGATTGCGAGGAATCAAGGGAGGACTGAGGTATCTTTTACTTTGAATGAGGATCTTGCAAAGATTCATGATATCGGTGGGAAACCAGCTTCAGTCAGTGCTCCTAGAGAACATCCATTTGCCTTGCAAAGTGTTAGAGGACAGACATTAACAGTGTTTACCGAGAGCTCCTCAGGTAAACTGTCATTGGACGGAATAGTGGTACAGAGAGCCGAATGCCGACCTGCTGCCAGCGAAAGCTACATGAGGTTAAAGAGATTGCAAATACAAGAGTCTTCCAAACCTGTAAGGCTGTCACAGAAGCTGGACAAAGTTGTCACGACCAATTACAAGCCTGTCGCTAACCATCAGCACAATATTGAACACGAAAGGAAGAAGAAGGAAGATGGAAAGCGAGTTCGGGCAGACAAACAACACGTCCTAGACATGCTGTTTTCAGCCTTTGAGAAACATCAGTACTATACTCTTAAGGACTTGGTGGACATCACAAAGCAGCCTGTGGGATACCTGAAAGAAATCTTGAAAGAAATTGGCATTCGGAATGCAAAGGGGATTCACAAAAATACCTGGGAGCTGAAGCCAGAGTACAGGCATTACCAAGGAGAAGAGAAGAGTGGCTGAGAAAGTGTCCTGAACAGTGAGAGGCCGCCGGCAGCCAGCGGCTCACACCACACTGACCTCCTGCGGGACAGCACCGGCTACAGTTCTGCAGTTCCTCTCAGGAAACTGTTAAAGCTGGCATTCCTTCCATAAGTTTTTCAAGGGCTTTTTAAAGAGAAAGGTGTTATTTATAGACTAAACTTGTGTTAAATAAACCATAGCATTCAGCCACGTGTCCAACACCCAGGAGCCTGAAGCAGAAAGATGCCAGTTTGAGGCTAGCCTGGAACACACAGCAAGACCCTCCCTCACAAAAGAAAAAACTGTTTTCTTGGTATGGATAGGGGTTTGGGAATTAAAACTGCTTTTGTTTTTAAGGGTTAACTTTTCAAGTACAAGTGGGATATTTCCTAAATGAAAATTGTCTGTATTGCTGAGAAACTAATGAGGAAGGGCCATCAACTACAGAAACTGTTAAGACAACACAGTCCAAGTTCCTTTTTCTGAAACTGAAGAGGGAACTCTCTCCACAGAGGTCATGTTCACCTTCAAGCATATATCAATAAAGGGACCTGTTCACTTTGTACTAAATGGCAGCTTTCATCACTGGTCTATTTTACCCTTATGATATGATAAGAGAAACAGTACAAACTGTGGGTGTTAGTGTTCCTTTTGTTTACTTTTAAAATAAAAAAATTGGGGCTAGAGAGTGGGCGCAGGTTATGGGCATACATTGCTCTTGCAGAAGATATGAGTTTAGTTCCCAGCATTCACTTAGAAATGGCTCACAGCTGCCTATAACTCCAGCACCAAGGAATCCATACCCTCTTCAGGGCTGCTCAGGCAGCCACACATACATTCACACGGACACATACATGAGAATGTTTTTTTTTTTTTAAATTATTATTATTATTATTATTTTACAACACCATTCAGTTCAACATAATAGCCACAGAATCCCCTGTTCTCCCCCTCTCGCCCACCCCTCCCCC